TAATTTAAATAACTATATATATATATATATATATATATATATATATATATATATACACACATACACGCCTTGGTTTTTATAATATATTTTAATTTGTGCTTTTTATGCTTTTTACAGTTACGTATTTTGGGGGGGGGGATGTTGGGGATGTTACCCTAGTTAAAAATATACCTTGGTTTTGAACACTACCATGATTTTAATAACATTTGTATTCTTTGAAGTATTTCACAGTGCTGTGTAAATATCTTTGTATATGAGGTGTGGAAATCATTCAGTACCATGGCTTATATCAGAATGCCATGGTATTACCATCTGATACCATCAGAGTATCTTGGTACTACCACAGTACTGTTTTAAAATTATTTGTATTAGAATACTAATAGTGAAACACATTTGCTCTCAAGAATTTGAAAACGAGCCACATGCACACACATTTCTACACAAATGTGCTTGTGCTGAAGTATGCAGTAATCCTGTCTCAGTCCTTGTATATGACCCCGGCGTGATGTCTAAACCGCTGGCTGGATATAGGCTGTACGTGGGGGTGGTGAGGGGAGATCAGCGGATGTCGAATGGTATCCCATCATTGGAATCGCATTTCTCCTCCGTCTTGCTTTTCCTGTAGTGGACCCCGAGCCGGACAGCGCTGACTGTGTCATTAGACAGAAATCAATGGCCTGTGTGCAAATACAGTGTATGTGTCTAGGTTCCTAATGAGGTAAAAGCTAGAAAGGTACATGTACATACGTTAATGGCATGCATCAGTTAATTGAGTAACAATCATGTGCGTTTTTCTCACCAACTTCCAGTTCACTGTTCGACCATCTCAACCAATCCTGGTTGAGTTCCTTTGCAAAGCCATTGCCAAATATGTCTGAGGTCTCAAGGGGCGAGCTGTATGAGACAGACCAGCTCTGGATCTTGGGTTTGCGTTGATGCCGGCGGTGCTGTTTTATTGCTATTCATTTAGTGCTAAAGTGTGGGTCTGGCCCTAATGAAATGTAAAGCTGTAGTCTATTGACGTGGGCTCATTGTAATTCCTCTAGTCTTCCAGTTGCTACGAGGCCTTATTGATTCATCTGTATGAATATATAATCAGGGGCCTAAATCTTAGAGGCTGCAGACAGCTGTACGAGTGTGTGTGTGTGTGTGTGCGTGAGTTAATGTTTGTGAAGCAAAGACCATTGACTGGCTGTGAGACTGTGACATGGAAGATCGTTTGGTTCAATTTGAAGAGATGTTTTTAAGTTTTTCCTCTTGATTTCTCAATCATTATTTTTGATTCATCAAGTATCATTTGTGTATGCTGTATGCTCAAAAAATAAATAACACACCTTGTGATAACAGAGGTGTTAATGGGAATCTGTCTGTTGCTTTATCGTTCATTCTTTCTAATGTTTGTTCTATCTATCAGTCTTTCTGGCTGTCGTTCAGTCTGTCTGTTGTTCGTTTTGTCTATTGTTAAATTTGTCTGTTGTTTTCTGTCTATTGTTTGATCTATCTATAATTTGTTAATTGTTTGTTCTATCGCTTATTCTATCGTTCATTCCATCTATCGTTTATTCTGTCTATCTTTTGCTCTATTATTCAATCTATCTATTGTTCATTCGATCTGAGATTCGTTAATTCAATATATTGTTAGTTTGTTCTGCCATTCGTTCGATCTTTTTTTCTATTGTTTGTTCTATCTGTCTTTCGTTTCTTTGATCTGTCATTCTATCTACCTGTGGTTCTATCTTTCATTCTATCTATTGTTCATTCAATCTGTTCTTCATTTGTTTGATCTATCTTTTGCTCTATTGTTTGTTTTATCTATTGTTCTGTCTATCGTCTGTATCGTCAGAAGTTTGGAAATACTATTGTATGGAAACATTTGTGTTTTATGTAAAATGCTTTTGATTATAAATAAATTGATATTTTTGGCTGCATTAAATTGATTAAAAATTATAAGTCAAGGAGTTCTTGTTGAGTGTGTGTGACAGAGGTTTGCTATTTATAATGCCAGATGGATTATGTAGAGTGAGTTTCTGAAGGCAGTGAGATTTATACATGTGTTTGTATGTGTTTATGAGATGTATTGTGTGACCCTGCTAAGAAATGTGGCTCCTGTGGGGCTGGTGCACAGGAGGTCAATGTCAGTGATTTATTAGAATCTACTATTGGGGTTCACGGGAGGGAAAATCTCCATAAAAAATCCTCTGTTCATAAATATGCCGGCCTTCTTGACATCGCATCTATCCCCCAACCTCAAGCCTCAGTTTGACGGGCTCTCAATTGAAGACAACAGCTAATAAAGCAGGTTGAAAATGCTTCGGATGAGACAATTATAGTTTGCAAGCCATGTCGTAACTATCTGAATCTGAGCTCTATATACCTGCATACTTTGGCAGAGCTAACATGCTGACCAGCATGTGGTCAATTCCCAACGTCTTTTTAGTCATGCGGCGACCTGCCAGTTAAGGTTATCGTGAATAACTAGTCAGTCACATTCATGTAATGTCCACCTACCCGCTTCTGCAGGTCAGATTTGCGGGAAGAGCTCCCTTGGAGACGTTAAATGCACTTATCATTTAGCACGTTAGCGTGGCTAATTAGCATGTTAGCGCAGCCACACGTGTACCCCCTCCACTTCTGAAATGTCACTTTAATTAAGAAGCATGATCTGATTTGAGCTAATTTGCAGAGCGAATGGTAATTACAGATAACATTTGGAAGCAATGAGCAAGAAGGATGGCTTATGGGGTGGTGGGGGGGTCTGCGTTGTTGCGGCAGGAAGTGATTTCTCCTTGTGGAAATCTCGCCTGATTGAGAACGATTAATGATTGACAACATCTTGTAGTCCTCGGCGGGAACGTCGGAAGCCGTGATTGGTGGCAGTGATTAGCGAGCGAGATGCAAAGAACATCCTCAGAAGTTTGTTGCATGGTCAGTCGCTCCAAGTGCCATTATGAAGCATCACACGCCTGTGAGGGACAAATCAGAGGAAGACAGACTGTAGCATGTCGTAATTGTGATTTTTCTTCTGTGGTGACTTTTCTTCATCTAACGTTCTCATTGTCGAGGTGAAGCTGTATCTGTGCCAGTGCAGAATTGCTGTTCATTTTATTCCCTTTCTCACACACAGACACAATAAATATCATATCCAGCTCCTCTCTTAAAACGGGCACTGTGCCCGTGTTTCTGTCTCAATCTGTATCAATTCAGTGTTCTTGTTCAGGCACAAGTAAAAGATCCTCTTGATCATTTCGTTACTCTGTCTGTTTCTGCCTCAGTCTCCTGACTGAATCCTAAAACTTCCCAAATTTGAAATTTATTATAGTGTAATATTGATATTTTCTATGTTTATATATTCATTAAAAAATTTAATTGTATTTAATTTAATTTAATTTTTAATTTAGTTTAACGTATATAATTATAAATTAATATATTTAATATATGTTTATGTAACACAATATCTTGGTACAATAATAGTTATTTTGTTTGTTACATATATTTATACACACATATAGCATAAGATTCGCTCAGTTATGTCATTTTTAATGCAAATATGACATTATTTGACCTAACCCTAACCTACCCCTACCCTTACCCCTAACCATAGCCCATAACAAAGACATCTCAAACAATGTCATCTTTGCATTAAAAATTACATAACTGAGCGAATGACACTTAATGACAGTTGTCATAAACCTGCATAAAACACCTTCAAATTCATAACATGTGTCATGTCATGATTATGAAGGTGTCATGTCAGTCTTATGCACACCCCTTCAAGTAAAGTGTAACCCGCAACTGCTGTGTTCACGGAAGATTTGCGTTCAAATATTTAAACTCAAATCAATATTTTGTCTAATTATTTACTTATGAGGCAAGTAGCCATGTAATAAGATAGATAATGTACATCCAGCCGGTTGTTATCGCAGAATAACCCCCTTCAGGGTCATACAAGACTCCTCCGCTTCGCGTTATTCTACGATTAATAACCGGCTGGATGTACATTATCCCTTACATCACATAACATCACATAACGCAACATATAACATGTAACTAAACATCATATATTCTCACACACAAAACTACATTTTTTGTTTTGTGGCTTTTATTTTAAGTCATTTATTTCCTGGTGTTCTCCTTAAAATCTGCTAAGATTCACTTTTAGCAGATATAGTAGTTTAAAAATCAGTCTTTCTTTTTGGGTTTCAGTACTGAAAAAAAAGTTTAATCTAATTAAAACTGGACCGTGTTCACTCATTTGTGTGTGCTAGGTATTATTATGCTTGCCAGAGTACCGTGTCCAGTGGTGTATTAAGTACCTGAAAGCCATACTCAAGTAAAAGTACAGTTATCTTACCAGAAAATCACTTTGGTAGAAGTTGAAGTCAGCGTTTAGAATATTACTTGAGTAAAAGTCTGTGATATTTATTGTACTTAAGTAAGAAAAGTATTTTTTAAATCTTAAACGTACTTGTTTGAAAGTAAAAAAGTACAAGTAAATGCAAAATGGAAAAGAAGCAAATAAATAAA